CTACTGAGAGATATTGAGTTGAGAATTACTGACAGATATTTATAAATATTGAGAAGTAGTGAGTCTATGAAGTTATTTATTTGTTGAGAATAAATCAGCTCTTATTTATCTGGTGGCAAGTTATTCATTGTTTATAACTATTGACCTATCAGAACTCAGAATTGTTTGTTGTGAAGTTCTTGGGACAGAAACAGTTACATAACTAGCCAGAGACATTTGGAATTACAACTGCATGAGATATTACATACAGATTGTTTTTTGTCCCTTCCCAGCAGCCTGCCTCTGCTGGTACATGCGTGCACAGTACTTTCAAAAGGACAAAACATAAAATGTAGCATTCAAAGCACAACAACCTGTTCACTTGGTAGGAGTACATCTACTTATTAGATACTAACCACTATGCAGAATGTGCAACAGTGTTACATAAATGTAAAGGAAGTCTTTAAAGGCAATTTGCTGCAGTTTTTCACTGTCCTATTGCAAGATAGCTTGACGAGCAATGGCAATTCATTCACTCAATTAGTCCAATTATTCACAAGCAAAAAGATTCATTTAGAAGTCAATACTGAGTACAAAACCTTTAACACATCATAGGGCAGTGGAAATGATCATTACACAAGGCTCCTTTGTACAGCATGCTGTCCTCCCATTACAGTGCAGGCCACTTAATCATCAACAGATGATCTGTCTGTAAACTGTAAATTGATGCTTGTACAATGCAACAATGAAACCTTTTTGCCAAGTCTCTTTCTTTTCTAAATTATTGCAGGATTATTAACAGTTCTAGGAGCTTGCTTGGAGACTGAGATAATTTCTCTTGGAGGATAGAAATTGAACAGGTCAACAGAATCAGTGCGTATTAAAGGCAGGAATTTGTGCTTTGAGTGATGATGCTACTTCAATAATGATCAAAATCTTAAACTGCTAAAAGCAATGCTTCATTCCAGTCATGTGCCCTGAAAGGCTCATGTTGATAAACACCAGAGGTTAGAAGTTAGTTAATCAGAGCACAGGCATATATTTTACTAGTCAGAATTTTAGTCCGATTTAAAACCGCTAATTACTTGTTCCCTACATATATATACCCACTTAACCCTCAATTAACATATATAACCATCACTTTTCTGTTTCCGCTTGGCTTCAGTCAGTCCCTCCAAAACCCATTACATTTTAACAGGGCTTTTGTAACGTAGAGGAGGGTTAGCTATACAGGCAGTGAAATTGGTCTGTATGGGCTGCAGAGTGATGAATGGGCCGTGGGCTCTTATTCACATTGTTTACCAGAGACCTCGGATGGAATTTGGCAAAGAACAGGAACAGACTCAGCCATGATATTTCTCAGCATCCAATATGTTGCCAATATTCGGTCTGCCCATGCACAGGGTACATGAGGAACTCCAGATACCCAGTGCTTTTGGTGACCCTGCACCTTTAGTGCTGGGCTCTCCCTGCTTGGGAAAGAAAGATCCACCAGACAATTCCAACATGGAAACAAAGCTGCTTAGGCCAGTGTTGGTGTTTCTTCATCCAACAAACTGGATCCCATATCTCTTTATTTTTCCTTACCTTCACCCAACCATTAAGTTATTCTTAACTTTCACATGGTCTCTCCTTTAACACCAGCTCTGTCATATATGAAAATATATGTTTAGATATACCTACTACATACCTGCATCACCATCCAATAAGCTCATGGTTGATATACCTGAACACTACATTCCCATCTATCCCTGAAAACCTTTGACTCCCTTGTTAGTCAAGAAGCTATTGACTTCTGCCTTAAAACAAATTCGACAACTCCACCTCGGTCCCTTTCTCAGGAATAGACCTCAGTATACTCACGACCCTCAAAGAAATAAATTCTCCCCATCTTAAGTGGGAAACCCTTTAGTTTTAAACTATCGCCCCTAGTTTTAGTCTGTCCTACTAAAGGAGACATTCTCCAACATCCATTCTGCCACAACCCTACAGGATCTTATATTTTTCAATAAGGTCTCTGCCCATTCTTCTGAATTCCAGTGGATACCAGTCAAGCCTGGATAATTTTTCCTCGTAAGGTAACACTCCACTCTCAAGTATCCCAGTTATAAGTCCCTGAACTGCTTCAAATACATTTGTGAACATTCTAAAATAGGGAACTACGCACAGTACTGAAGATGTGGCCTCACTAACATTCTCTAGGACTGGTACAAAACATGCCTACCATTGTATTCATTCTCCTTGGTCAACATTGAGTGTTAATTCCTTCCTTACCTCAGCGGACTCTAAGTATTCTTTGGCAGCACGTCTCAGTCATTTGATTTCTGAAAGCATCAGCTTAGAGTCTAGTACTACACACACGTATAAGTCAGGTAAGAAGAGGTCTGAGTCTGTTGGCACAGGTGTGCAGAATCCAGGGCGGGAGGATAGAATGCCACAGGCACCAGCTCACCAAAAGGTGAGATCACACACTCATTCTGCTGCAGAGAACCTAGATGCTAACTTTAGGTGGGAAGGGTATGGGGAGGATGCATGGCCCATCAAAGAAGCCCAATGAGCACATATCAGCCAGTGTTTGTAGCAATGAGCAGCCTGCCAGAGAACATGGCGATAATGTCACAGACAGTGGCAGAAACCACCTTCATCTTGTTTAAAGTTTCAAGGAGCATGACAAAAGCGACTACAGCAGTACCACCACCATGATGGATTCCACCTGTGGAGTTTCACGGGACAGCCATTGTCAGGCTGCCCACTCTTCCTCCAGTACTGACCATGTTGGTGTCACTCAGTCTGCAAGCACAGGGTATGATACTGACTGGCTGCAGTCAAGGCCTAGAGTTGTGTAAGGTCATCTATCGCAGGCCCCTGAGGTGTCCTCAGTGGAACCTATCCATTCAGTCTCTCCATTGTAGTTTGTAAGAGCCACAGCTTTGGGGAATTGACAGAAGAGTACAGAGATTTAAGGGCCTCCTGTAGGCTGGTTAGTCATTTTATTTCTCGAGCCTAAAGAGTGCATTAGATGGCTGTGTTGGCTTGTCATTCTTCATACTGTCCACAGGGAAGGGAAATGTCACCTCTGTATGGAGTGTTTCAGTCTCCATCCACACACCACCCTGAAGCGGCACTGTTTTCTGGGTTATGATGAGATACTGATGTCATGTCCTATAGCCTTAAGGGAGTATGCAGTCAGAGCATTGTTGACATAAACTGCCCTGTTGTGAAGGTCAAGCTGTGTTTGCAACAAAGGTTTAAACTGATGATAAATGGATAAACCTACAAACGGGTCTGAATTCTTACTCCAGAGTAATATCAATAGTGGGAGAAATACTTGCTGAAGAATCAGCCTCCTGTACAATATTCCCTTCATCGATGTATTGCAATGGCTTCTGCATTCGGGTGGCTTCCTTGCTCTTCCACCACACCTCCTGTACTTGGGAGCAGATGGCAGCATTGTGGTAATTGTGATGTTCTGGGGACATGGGTTCAAATCTCACCCTAGCAGCTGGTTGGATTGAAATTTGATCATTGATCTCCAAAATTGAAAGCTAGTCTCAGTATTGTTAGCCAGAAAGCTTTTTTTTTTATTATTGTAAAAATTCACAAATGTCCTTTAGGGAATGCCATCTCCTCATCCTAACCTGATCTGGCCTACATGTGACGCCAGACCCACAACCACGTGGTTGACTCTGAACTGCCCTCTTAAATAGTTCTAGCAGAGCCCCTCAGTTCAAGGGCATGTTTCCAGATATGTTCAAGGCCCCAGTTTGACCATAATGGTGGACAGAAGCCTGGTGCCTCACTGGGAGCTTTTACAAGGTGTCTGTCACACCCTAAAGCATCTTCAAGCCAATAAAATTCTTATGCTGCACTTCATAGTGAAACTGCATTGGAAACACACACATATTCCCTAAGTCACCAATACTGCAGTGACCTGACAGGCTGCTTTCTTGTGACATATAAATATTGGCGTGGACACTCAGGCCAGCTCCCCTGTTTTTATTTGAGTAGTGTTTTAGGTTTTTTTTCACATCCACCTGAGAAGGTAGACAGGACCTTGGTTAAAACATCTCACAGGAAACATGGCACTTGCAACGAGACGTTGACAGAAACAACATGCACTTATTGTGGACTTGAAGAAATGTCAGCGGACTGCGGGCTCAATGTGATGACCGTCGAAATATAGAGAAAAGGAGCAGGAATGGGCCATTTGCCCCTTCAAGCCTGCTCTACTATTCATATGATCATGGGTGATCATCCAACTCTCTACCCTGTTCCTGCTTTCTCCCTTTGGTCCTTTTAGCCCAAAAAACTATATCTATGTATATATCGCTACATATGTAACAGTCAGTCTGTTTGGTTCATTTTGCCAAACACTGTGTTTATCCATGATGAGAAAATGGCTGCCACACAACTGGAAAAGAGACCAATAACGCAGGACAAAGGGGACAAGAAATCAGCCCAGTGGAAGGCTGTGCCTGATCTTCTCCAGCTGGGCTGGGCCCTTCCCAGAGACGAGAGGCTGCCCCCAGGGGCCAGGCCCACAACTTCCAACAGCGCCATCTTGGAAAATGGCTGCTGCTTTCTGTTGCTCCCCAGTAGCGTTGGGTTCCTCTTTGTGCATGTGCACTTGTTGCGCCACCTAAAGGTGGTGCCTGTAGCATCTGCAGCCTTTGTGTAAAGAGGTCACAGCAAAATCAGAGATTTAGACCCTTCTCTGACAGCATAAGGGCTTGTGGGAATTTCTGGGCATACAAATTGTATCAGTGAGACCTTCAACACAAGGGGATCCAAAGCATGTGGTATCACGCAAACAGCACATTCTTAAAAGTCAGAACCTACATTTGTTTGGAATTTTGCCCCTGGTGCGGGAGTAAATGCTTGAAAGGTTGAGTTGACGTCTTACCTGTAACCTGCAGCCGTTCTGAGGGAGGCTGGTCTCAAAAGTAAAGGCAGTCGACAATGAAGGTAACGTGTGATTGAAACAACAAAAGCATTGAAACACATCAAGCAAGAAATAAGGGATGTCGCTGGAGCTGAAATCTAAGCTGATTGATGTCATAATATCCGGTGTTTTCAGTAAGAATCAAGCTTATTGGTGACATCAAAGAATGGTGCCATGACAACGGTGACTATGAAATTCCAAAGTTCCAGTGACACAAACTAACTGTGATAAACAGGGAGGGACTTTTTCATTGAATTCCCTGTCCCCACCCCACCCACCCACCCACATGCTATACTCCTTCATACCCACACACCGCACACATCTCTCACATGTACATTAGTAATATGCAAGTAGCAATTTGGCTACCCAGAATGGTCCCAGACAATGACCATCACCATAAGGAGAGAATCTACCCATCTCCTCTTGACTTCAATGGTATTATCAACGCTGAACCCTCTGCTATCAATGTCCTGGGGTAACTATTGATCAGAAATTCAACTGAATCATGTATCAATACAGTGGATACAAAAGCAAGTCAAAGTCTGAGAATTCTGTGGGAAGTAACTCATCCCCTGACTCCCCAAAGCCTGTCCAAGGCACAAGACAAGACAATACTCCCCACTTGCCTGGATGGGAGCAGCTCCAACAATATTCAAGTAGCTTGACACCATTTCGGATAAAGTAACCCACTTGAACGGCACCCAATTCACCACCTTCAACATTTATTTCTTCCATGACTGACACATGCTAGCAGCAATGTGTGCCAGTTACAACTTGCCAAAACTCCTTCAACAGAACATTCCAAACTTGCAAACTTTACCATCTGGAAGGACAAGGGCAGCTGATACAGGGAAACACCACTACCTGCAAGTTCCCCTCCAAGCCATTTGTCTCCTGGCTTGGAAATATATCACTGTTCCTTCAATGTCACTGTGTCAAAATCCTGGAATTCCTTCCCTAAGAGCATTGTGGGTCTACCTACAGCACTTGGACTGCAGTGGTTCAAGAAGGCAGCTCACCACCACCTTTTCAAGGGCAACTAGGGATGGGCAATAAATGATGGCCAGTCAGCGATGCCCTCATCGCATGAAACAATAAAATAAAAATGTACCACACCTGTTCTGAGCTTGTATCCCAGTTTTCTTCACTCCTGTTGAGTGCACTGACACTGACATAGAGCTCTGTACTCTCTAACCACTTAGATTATATATTTCTTTTTAATTCTTCCTACAAAATTGAACTTTCAGATTTTGCCCCTTTGTGTTCCATTTGCTATTTCTTTGCAGTTTCACTTTACTTTTATCTTTTTGAAGCCTCCTTATGTTCTTCATAACTTAGTTGCCTATCTACATTTGTGTCATCAGCAAATTTCTGTCCCTTCATGCAAGTCAGTTATATAAATTGGAAACAGTCGAGGTCCCAGGACCGATCCCTGTGGCATTCTATTCTTTACATAGAGTCACAGAGATGCACAGCATGGAAACAAACCCTTTGGTTCAACTCATCCATGCTGACCAGATATCCTAAATTAATCTAGTCCCATTTGCCAGCATTTGGCCCATATCATTCTAAACACTTCCTATTGATATACCCATCCAGATGCCTTTTAAATGTTATAATTACCAGCCTCCACCACTTCCTCTGGCAGTTGGTTCCATACACGCACTACTCTCTTTGTGAGAAAGTTGCCCCTTAGGTCCCTTTTAAATCTTTCCCCTCTCACTTTAAACCCATGTCCCCTAGTTTTGGACTCCCTCAGCCTGAGGAAAAGACCTTGGCCATTCACCCTATCCATGTCCCTCATGATTTTATAAGCTTCAATAAGGTCATCCTACAGCCTCCAATGTTCCAGGGGAAACAGCCCCAGTCTATTCAGCCTCTCCCTATAGCTCAAACCCTCCAATCCCAGCAACATCCTCATAAATCTTTTCTGAATCCTTCCAAGTTTCACAACATTCTTCCTATAGCAGAAAGACCAGAATTGAATGCAGTTTTCCAAAAGTGGCCTAACCAATTTCCTGTACAGCTACAACATACCTCCCAACTCTCATACTCAATGCACTGACCAATAAAGTGCACGTACCAAACGCCTTCTTCACTATCCTGTCTACTTGGGACTCCACTTTCAAGGAACTACAAACCTGCACTCCAACGTCTCTTTGTTCAGCAACTCTCCCCAGGACCTTACCATTAAGTGTATAAGTCCTGCCCTGATTTGCCTTTCCAAAATGCAACGCCTCACATTTATCTAAATTCAAGTCCAGCTGCCTCTCAGCCCATTAGCCCTCTGATTAAGGTCTGTTGTACTCTGAGATAACCTTCTTCACTGTCCACTACACCTCTAATTTTGGTGTCACCTGAAAACTAACTAACCATACCTCCCATGTTCACATCCAAATCATTTATATATCTTGCCCAATCAGCGATCCAAAGTCACATGTTTCCTCCCAGAAGGTTCATTCACTCAATGCATGTTGTGTCTAAAATCACTCTGATATTGTATCACAAAACATGGCATTCTAAAAAAAAGTCAACTTCATTTGTATTTGAATGAATCAATGCTATTTGTTTTCACTTACAAAGGAAGTGGGTGGAGAGCTAGCATTGATGGGCCAAATAGTCTCCCGTGTTGTAAAATGTTTTGCCACTATGTGTTGTTGTAAAAGAAAAACTTAAAGGCAGTTGTCAACAAACATCATGTCCATTTTCCATTGACATAACATTGTAAGAACATAATAAATAGGGGGAGGTCTTGAACCTATAGCCGCTGGGGTTGTTCATCAAGTCTACATTCCCATCCTATCTCCTTGATTCCTTGTATCCAAAGTTCCCCATTTGATCTCAATCCCAAATTTACTTAACTACTTTTTCAAGAAGGAGTTACATATTTCACAGAATTCCTACAGTGTGGAAGCAGGCCATTCAGTCCATCAAGTCCACACCGACCCTCAGAGCATCCCACCTTATCCCCATAACTCCACTTTCCCCGTAGCCTACACTTTCCTGGACACTGTGGACAATTTAGCATGGCCAATCCATCTAACCTGCACACCTTTGGACTGTGGAAGGAAACCCACACAGACACAGGGAGAAGGTACAAACTCCACACAGACAGTCACCCAAGGGTGGAATTGAACCTGAGTCCCTGGTGCTGTAAGGCAGCCGTGCTAACCAATGATCCACTGTGCTGCTTCTCAGAGCTAATGAGATCAAAAGGATATTGGGGTGAAAGTGGGAACAGGGCACTGAATTAGATGAATAGCCATGACCATACTGAATGGAGGAGCAAGTTCAAAGTGCTGACTCCTATTTTTTACATTTCTGTGTTTACTGAGCAGTTACAGCTCTTTGCAGTAGACTTTTCCAAAAATTCATAATCTGCTGAGTGAAGAAATCTGTCTTCATCTCATTCCTAAATAGTTGACTCCACATTTTAAGATTATAAAACCCTGATCTCTTGACTCACCAGCCTTGGAGGAAAATACTTTCAGCATCCACCCTGTCAAACTCTAGAAGATTTTATAGATTTCAATGAGACCAACTCTCAATCTTCTAAACTTTAGACTTGACAAGATCTTTCTACTTGATCTCTCCACATGGGACAGGTCTCACTTTTGAGGAATCAGTTTCGTGATCAATGAACACACCCCTTTGAAGGCAAGTATATCCTTCCTCGGGTAAGAAGACCAAAGTGGGGAAATACAACTGTGTAGCATCGAGACTTACGTAGATTCCCCATGGACAGACTGTAGCTCTACCTGCACAGCTCATACTTTTTCACAAAGGATGCTGCACATAGCTTCAAGCAGCTCCACATGAACAAATACATCCCTCTACAACTGTACCTCTACTCAGGGTGTGGTCTCACCAAAACCCTATGTCATTGCAGCAAGACTTCTTTACCGGTGCAGCCAATCACAAGCACTCAGGTTCGTTGGTCTTCATAGCGAGAAGGTTCAAGTACAGGAGCAGGGATGTCTTGCTGCAATAGTACAGGGCCTTGGTGAGACCACACATGGAGTATTGTCTACAGTTTTGGTTGTCTTATCTGAGGAAAGATGTTCTATCTATGGAGGGAGTGCAACAAAAGTTTAACAGATTCCTGGGATGATGGGACTGATGTACGAAGAGAGACTGGATCAATTGGGATTATATTCACCTGAGTTTATAAGACCCAATCACAAGACTCCCTGATCCCAGTCACGAGACCCTCCATGATCCCAGCTTTCTCCTGATCACTAGCTCAATACATTACATCGATCCTGTATCACAAAAGTGACTACACTGGCTGTGATACTGTTTGAGGCATTCTGTAAGGGCGTGGAGTCACAAACCATTGGCAAGGCCATTCTGGGGTGAAAGTTTTCCGGTGAGCCTGGTCTCTAGGCCCTGAATGTGAAAAACTGCAGCTTACCTGCAGATGGCGCTGAAAGACAAGTTCATGGCTTTGATTTGAAACATCATAAAAGAAAGCACAATTGTGGAAATCAGCAGGTAAACACCAAATAAATTGTATGGAATTTGCAGCCATTCACTTCAATTAGCCCATGTCAGTGTTTACACTTCACAAGATTCACTTTCTATCCTATTCATTCACTTTTAGTCAACAAAAGCATCACCAAACTAATTCCTGGAATGATGGGATTGTCCTGTGAGGACATTGAGGAGACTAGGCCTGTAATCTCTGGAGTTTCGAACAGAGAAAGGTGACCTCATTCAAACACACAACCCTTGACGGGGTAGATGCAGGAAGGATATTACCCTTTGCTGGTGTCTCGAACCAGGGGACCCTGTCTCAGAAAGTGGAGCAAACTGTTTAAGAATGAGGTAAGGAAGCATTTATTCCCTCAGTGACAGTGAATCTTTGAAATTCTTGACCCTGGAGGGCTGTGGAGGCTTCGTTATTGAGTTTTGAGACAGTGATCAATAAATTTCCAGATATTAAAGGTATAGTGCAGGGAAATAACATTGAGATAGAAGCTCAACCATGATGTCATTGAGTGGTGGAACAGGCTGGATGGACTGAATGGCCTACTTCTTACGACATGCTCTTCATTGGCTTACCTAACTTTGTCTTGAATGTATTTAAACCATTCAACTCGACAACTCCATTTCCATGCTATCTCCACCCTTC